CTAAAGACCAAAGTGTTCAGAAAAGCAACGAACACGACGCAAATTCTGAATTTCAACAGTAACCACCCAATCAGCCACAAACGCAGTTGCGTAAGAACGCTATTTCGGCGTGTTGAGACGCACTGCAGTGAACCGGAAAACAAGGTTGCCGAATCCCAATATCTTCGACGGGTTTTCCGAGAAAACGGTTACCCGCGCAACTTCGTCAACCAGTGCCTGCGCAAACAAGACGAGCGACAAAATCGCGCCGACCCCAAATTCTGGCGAGCGATCCCGTACATCAAGAACGTCTCCGAGGCCGTTAGTCGCCTTCTTGCACCACTTGGGGTTGGAGTTGCGCACAGACCGGAGGCCACCGTGAGACGTCAAGTGATGAGACCAAAAGACCCTTTGTCACGGCAAGAAACATCTGGAGTCGTTTACCGGATCTGGTGCAGTTGCGGACAAAGCAACTACGTCGGAGAAACTGGAAGACTGCTCCGGACGCGAATCGCCGAACACGTGGCAGCTGTACGGAGAAATGACGCCAGCTCTCAGGTCGCGACCCATTCGACGAGACCCGGCCACACATTCAAGTTCGATGAGGCCGAAATTCTCGCGAGAGGGGATAATCGCGTGAGCCGCGAGTTGCTTGAATCATGGTTCACGGGACCTCAGTCTATCAACAAGTGCAACGACATCCCCACTCCATATTCTGTCCTGAGGCATAGACTGGCCAAAGCAATTGACCACTCGATGAGCGTGCTAGCCGGTGATCCAGATGGCCGAGCAATCATCACGCCAGCATCCAACACGGGTGATGAGATGTCAGCAATTAACAACTTGCATGCCGGCCATCAAGCAATTAGCGCACCAGCGGGCAACAATCCTTGATGAAGGGAGTACGGTTAATTGCTGTGGGTATGCGGTAGCATGGCGACCGCATCCTATAAGTACTGCGACTTCCTGTACACTAGCCACCCTTTTCTACAACTGTCTCTGATGATGGATTCAAGAGAGAATCCGAAACGTCAGGCGAATAAAGCCATTGTTCCAGCGATCGCTTCTTCTTCTGATCAACTAGTTCCTGGAACTCGCATCTTCGCTTGTATCGACATCTTCGTTTGTAGTAATTACCGACAGTATATCCGCAGCAGGGTGCGTTCATCAGTATGAAGTCGTTCATCGTCAATCAGACCGCCATCTACGAACCTGGAGTGATCATATAGCCGCAACTCGGGTTCCCGCCCACAAAACCCCATACGCTCTGCCAGGTCTTACGAAATGGAAGTTCCTGCAACTGCTCTGCTTAAACTCTTAGGCTCGTGACTAACAACTATTTTTTCCTTTGCCCAGGCATACTACTGATGACCGAAGGAAGACCCCACGTGGTCACTCATCTCTAACCTTCTTACCGAGGTCCCACTTCAGGAGTTAGAACCTGCGACTCTTCCATTGATTAAACCTAAAGTGTGGCTATGCTGTGTAGATGACACATTTGGGGCCGTTAGACGGTATCAACAGGACGCGCTCCGCATCACTATCACCTAAGCATTTCCAGGAAATAAATTTGCACTGAAAAACGAGCTGACAGTAAACTCCCATGTCTAGATGCCCTCATACAATGAAATACCGACGTAACATCTCACTACGCTATTTCTCACTAACGTAGTACTGTCTACAGCTTGCTTAATCGAATAAGCCAGCTGTTCTGGTAATGAAAATGAACAAATAGAACTAAACTACCTGTTTAAACGATTTTGGCCCGATGTGTCCGTAAATTTCACCAATATTAACGAGTATGGTGTTGGCCTAACCTAACTGCATTCCCTTTTGCGGGAAGATTTGTATTCGCGTCCATTTAGAGGACATGGGTGGATCTCATTGTAACAGAGACCGTGCACGTGACTGTGCACCTGTTGTCTGCAGTGTCAAATGGTCGAACGCCCACCGAAATGCCTTGGGATCAACTACAGCCACACCCCCAGAGATTCTGTTGTTGCATTTGCGCGCATCGATGACAGGGTCACGTGGTAGGGCGATGCGACGAACAATGAGCCAATCAGAGCATCGGTTGTCTACATTTTACCGTTCGCCGCGGAAATAAAAAAACGCTCAGCAGCCCGCATAATGGGCATTTTACCAGCTGTCGCATGGCTTAGTTGTGTTGTGCTGCTTAATAAAGGGTCATCCCCAAATCAACAATATAGGCTAATCTTCCGACGTGAAGTGGGGAACCCGAGTAATGTTTTCAACTGCAGTTCATGACTTGTCTTTTTGCGAATTCACTGCCAGTTCTCGTCTTGTTTTTAATCACGGCTAAAGCCGACACTCAAAGTAACCCGAAAACCTCTGGGCAAATGGAATTCCTAAAATTATAATCAAAAGCCTCTGAACACTTAAAATAAGTGCTCTTTTGAATATTCAGAAGACGATTTGGCGAGCATGCGTTGCCTTCGATAAATTCCCTTTAGGCCAGTACAATTATTTGGGAACAGGGTACAGTTAAACATTCTAGTGATTGAAAAATCAATAACAGTTAGTTTTAAAACACAGACGGGGAGAGAGCGGAAGGGCGCAGAAAGTTGTAAGTGGTTAGTCAGACTTTCACTAGGGTAAGCGCAGAGTCTGAACGAGGTTCTTCTGGGCGCATAGAATCGGTTTTCGCAATCTGATGTCGGCCGCTTCTGCTGTTGCTAACAGGCGCTGGCCCAGTAGCTTAGGGTAGCTCGAGGGGACTTTATAAATTACACGAAAAGCTTCGTCGGGGTCCACACGATGCCCTGAATCAACTGTATGCGCAAGAATGGCGCTGCTTATGCTCCTAGTTTCGCCTTTTGCCAGCCATTCGGGAGGTGTTCTGGTATTCTTTTTGAAAGGTGTCGACTCGTACAACCAATATAACCTGCTCCACGGGAGCAAGTGGATGAGTAGATGCACATTGAGGCAGTCCGAAGTGGCAGCCTATCCTTACCTTCTCTGCGTAAAAAAGGGGTGAGTAGAGAATGATATTCGAGCCCTTGCTGCTGGGAAGGTTTTCGAGACAGCTTGATCAAGGCGTCTTCTTAGGAGTTCATTCGCAGCGTCTCCTTGAAAAGGAACTTTGTGGAGCGAATTTTCCTCTTCGACAATCAGTGTGGCGGGTTTTGCCGGTCTTTCGGCAGCGTTCTGTGTAATAAACTTGTTAGGATACTCGTTATCGTGAAGCAAGTCCTGGATTTTTTCAAGTTCCTTCTCAATGCTATCTGTTGGACAAATTTTTCTAGCTCTTTGCGCCAAACACAGGACTACATTTCGTTTTTGTTGGCGGGGTACAAAACTGGCGAAGTTCGAGTATTGTCTAGACCAGGTTTTCTTCCGATAGACGCTCGTTCGGACGTTACAGTCAGGTCTCTTGTTTAGAAGGGCATCTAAGTGAGGGCCGATTCCATCTCCAACGTGAATTCGATCGACGGATGTGCCTGATTTACAACATTTAAGAGGGTAGCTACGTCGGTTTCTGTTATGGCAATTGCAATGTTTAAGCTTGTCGATCTGATCGCTTGGTTGGAATATCTCCAGTTTGCTCATGAAGACATCGGCTAAGAGAGGTCCAAGAGGTGAGCCCATAAAAACGCCGTCTATTTGTCTATAGAATTGGTTGTCAAAAAGGAACTGCACATTTAGTTTGCATCTTAGTAAGAGTGCCTTAAATGTGTCCGTCGGCATTCCTATTTCCTGCTAATTGACTGATGCGAAATCACATGTATTCAACTGTCTCGGTGACCGGGAAATTTGTAAAAAGCGATGCGACTTCTAGCGAGTACATCATCATGTCGTTAAGGTCTTTAATGTCGTCAATGAATTCAAAGGTATCACGATAGCAGAGAAACTCAAGCCCGTACGGTATCAGCTAGCACGACACAACTGACGCTGGGGAGATTTTAACTAACCGATCGCGTCGACAAGCTTAAACATTACAGTTCAGGCTCCGCGCTTACCGTGGTCAAACGTTAACTAACCACATGCAACTTTCTGCGCCCTTCCGATCTCATCCCGCCTGTGTTTTAAAACTAACTGTTATTGATTTTTCAAGCATTATCATGTTTTACTGTACCACGTACTGGCCTGAGGAGGATTTATCGAAAACAACGTATGCTCACCTACTCGTCTTATGAATACGGTTATGGGAATTTTCGCAATACTTTTGAATATATTTTTCGACTGTGTACCATGGAAGCAAGGGTATGGTTGGCAGGAAATTTATGTAGCACAGACCCTTCATTTTGGCGAGCTCTGACCACAAAAGATTTCCAGAGAATAAAAGCCCCTGTTCTACGTCGGCAAATTAAATAAACTTAGTTCTGATTTATGATGGGGGAAGTTGCCTCAAACTATGTTGAGTAACAATCCTGTTAAGATCTTCCTACCAAGCTTAGGCAGAGATTTATCGGAACATGATTCTGCCGACAAATTTTGTTTAATTTTTTACCTGAAGCTTTTAGAAGTTTTCCAGGAGCCGGATGTTTCATCTGTAATTTGGAAAAGTTTGACGAGCAAGAGCGCGGCTGTCTTCTTTTACCTTCCTCGATGACCTACGATCACCTGGCGGTTTTATATGCGTCAAATAGACTGACGATATAGCTGGTTGGCGCCTGCCAGAAATCATAGCATCATCCAACTTTCTAGATAGGTCTTGCATTATTCCTCACCATGGCCATCAAACAGCAGTCTTCTTTTTGATAAGTGGAAGTCATTTTAGGGCGCCTTCTGGTCAAAACTTTTTCTAAATGCTTTGTCTCATGATATTATTTTCAATAAAGTCCCTTACGCCGCACATCTGGGAAGTAGGCTGCCTTCTAATCTTTTAAGTTTCCTTAATATAGACCTCTTTTATAAAGATCTGGCCTCCTTCTCCCACTTATCAGCGGCGAACCCGGCGATTTTCTAGTGCCTGAATTTTCCCACTTATTCCCTATTAATTTTCTGTAATCCCTCCCCTCGTTTGTATAAAAACGGTAGCCGTAAAATACAACGCGGTCTTAGTATGCTTCCTTCTCCTTCTTCTTCTTCTTCTTCTTCTTCTTCTTCTTCTTCTTCTTCTTCTTCTTCATCTTCTGCTGCTGCTGCTGCTGCTGCTGCTGCTGCTGCTGCTGATGCTGCTGCTGCTGCTGCTGCTGCTGCTGCTGCTGATGCTGCTGCTGCTGCTGCTGCTGCTGCTGCTGCTGCTGCTGCTGCTGCTGCTGCTGCTGCTGTTGCTGCTGCTGCTGCTGCTGCCGCCCGTTTTCCTGTTTCCCCCTGACTGATGCCTTAGTGCAATGCCACTGTGCAACTGACGAGTCATCCATCAATAGCATTTTGTAAAATGTGGCTTACCTCCTTCAGCTCGATTCAATGACCGCAGCCACTCCGGTAAATCGATGCGATTTTCGATGCATCCTCCGTTGAAATCATGTCTCAGGACTCCTTTATTGAATTCCCGACACGATTTTTGACTGAAGTTTTTGCCACTACCTGTTTTGTCTGGACCGTTTCTTGCTTGTTCAGGGGTTTCTGGGTATGGGGGTATTCTTTGCTGCATACATTTGCTATCGTAAGGCACAAAAATATCTTGCTCTACTAGGTATTTATTCACATGCAATATGTGAAGGACTCTTATTAGAAAAGTTACGGAGTACTTTCGCAGCGCAAAGGGCTATTGCTTTCAAGTGGAAAGTCCGCTTCACGTAACAGGGCATTCTTATTCACTTGGTATGCAAGTGTCTAAACAATGCGTATCACTGGCTTCTATTTGCTGAATACTCCTGTTGCCCTTTCTGAGAGACCGTCCTGTGAAAGCTTATTCTTTAACCATCAATCCGTCAAATTCACTGCTCCTCTCAGTAAAGAGGGCGCCACTGTCCCTAGTTTGCTCACCCCGAATCGCCTCCGATGTGCAAAACGCCTCTTATAACCGTTGGCACATGTGAGTAGCAGCGGGACTAGTGCCTCAGCAGGCTAAGGAGGAAGTAGACCTCCGAAATGACTGTCCAAATAATGGAGGTTTGATGGGACCCTGACGGGTCTATAATGGTAATAATAATAATAATTGTTATTATTATTATGATTATTATTATTATTGGACCACCTGCAATAACGCTATGTGCATTTGAAAGCAGTGATTCCGGCGACGGTTACAAATGCATCCAGACCCCTAGTCAATGCAAGTTCAGGTCGTCCATGAATCAGGAACAGCACCAAAACTATTGGCTGTCAATGCCGCCGTTAATGACTCTAGGACCACTGTTAATGCTTTTCTGTGCGTGATGTCGCCGTTAGCATTCATTGACAGGTAAATTGCTCCCTTCTGACAAATAACTCACACCTCCGGCAAATATGCGGCAGGGTCATAGGAGAATCGGAGACGTATCGTTTGACGCTGGCTTCGTGACTGATGCTGATACCATTGCCCATGCCCCTATGTCAGGGATGCTGCTGTTCGGAAGTATTTAGAAAGAGATTGTCCCTCTCGGCACTACTAGTTCTCAGAAAGTTCTGACGTACCCTTTGACCCATAACTTCAGCACTACCTCAATACCGATAGAGGCATCAACATCCTCCCATTTTACACGGGATTTCAAGGTTCTGGGTCTGTGTCCGGACGACGCGTAAAGCCTTATTTAATTGTTGACAAGCATTCTCCATGTCTTAGCACCGTTATGGCTTCTTCCCATTGAACAGATTACCGAATTACTAAACTGGTGACTGGTCAAGTCTGGGGGAGGTTATTCCAAACTCTCCTTCTTTACGACATAAAAGTTAAGAAAAATTACGCCTAATTACCCGACATTCTTAAATATAGGTTGTGTGTGCAGGAATTGAATACACAAAGTATTCAGAATTGCTTATATTGTGTAATACAAGCATACGTTTAGTATGTGTTGACAACGTACAAATTCGACTCACCCTGCTCACACTCGTAGAACACTAGTTCAAACAAACTGTGCAAGCCGTCCCACTATCTATCACCCGTGGACGCGTTCGGTAGCCCTCGGGAAGGCTGATACGCACGTTTCCCCTTTACATGTTTTCTGTCGACTCAGTGTCATAAGTACTGGTTCCTTAATAATTTTAAAATGTCAATGACCCAAGGCAAATCCACCTACTTCCTGTCGTTTAAACACTTGATTGCTCATGTATGATGTATACAGAATCAGCCGTTCCTCATTGTTGGAACACACAACATGCAGCTGACTTTTACTGCACTAGTGTTTCCGTGTTCATAATCGGACTTCGGAAGCCTCACCTGTCTTAAGCCGACATTTGCAGTTATCACCTTCTGTACGGGATGTGGGTTCGAAATAGTGGTCCGGGAGCCCCGAAGGCTGGCTCGAGCTTTGCTACTGCCTGTGTAACTCCGTTCGAAATCAGTGCTGGGATACATACCCACCGTGCGCTATGCCAGTATCAGCAAACCATGACCCTTGCAGCCGGGTATTCGTTCGCAATTCTCCGGCACCTGGTTTCCTGCCGGTAGATGCGCTTGCGCTCCCGCTGGGTACGCAGGTTGTGGGCATGTCTGCCTAGTCATCCTCGGCCCTCTGACCCCCTTTTGGGATGTTGTTATTGCTGCTGTAGTTGTTTTTCGATGAAAAATCCTGGTCAAGCGTTTGTTGTGGACCCGGGGGTGTGGTGACACGCCTAGATGGGGGTCCGGCCGTGCCATCCACCTGCGCCCTCTCCCGCCTCCGGTCTTCTCGACTCTGTCAACTATCACTATAAAATACTTTGTGTGCAAGTCCCCGTCCCTGTTCTCACCTTGCTGTGGAGCACACAATGGACATCGTCGGGATCGACGGTCAAGCTGTCAGCATCATCTGGTGGCGTCATTATTCACCGACTTGGATCATAGAGCTGATGATCCATCCAGTAATGACATTAGTTTGGGCAGGGGCTTCTAACTCCGATAAACTGGAGTTTATACCTACCTACTCCATTACGACACAAAGAGGAGCATCTCAGTCACTCTCCCAAGTAGGCGCATAACCCTCACTGGTTGTGGCTGGAATTTTGCCCGATCCCATTCTGTCCGCCCGACAACTGGGCCGCGGACGCTAACGGACGTTATGCCAGAGAACATAACACAATATGGTATTCACATGCTAGACGCAGACGGCTGTTTCCCGGTCACCACCGACCGTCAGTTCACCATTGGCCTGTCTTGTGAGGCATGTAAACATAAAAGGCTTCCGGCGTATCGGCGATCGGTAATAGCCTCGAAACAGCCGTCTGCGTCTGGCAAGTAAGTGCTGTAGTGAGCTCTCCGTGTATTGTAGTATGTCCTCTGGTACAACGTCCGTTATCCTCAGCAGCCCAGCTGGCGGCGGAGAGAATGAGATCAAGTAAAATTCAAACCACAACAAGTGAAGGTCACGCACCTACTTTACAGGGTTATAAGCACCACTCCATAAGTTACAGGAGAGGCCTATGGCGCACTGGCGACCGGTAGTGATCGCGAAACATCTATCTGCCTTTGACGTGTTAGTACCTTAGGGAAAATCTTACCCCAACTACTTTGTCTCATTGGATGATGTAGGAAAAAATTCGTGTAATATTCTCTTGTCGTCGGCTGCATTCGAAAATCTCCCCCGTGGATTGAAGACTCTGGACGCTCTACACTTCGTCACGTTTGACTACGATTCCAACGAACCGGGGCATTACAACGGAGCTGTGACCGGCAGTCATCATCATCATGATGCCTAGCCTCTTTGTTCGGCGCCCCAATGCCTCAAGGTCGTTCGCCTTCCCAGCGAGCGGTTACAGGCGCGCTGACCTCACAGCCTGACCGACTGCAACATGCGCACACGCGCGCAGTCAGCGGTCACAGCTCTGCCTCGTTGGAACTTGCCAGGCTAATGCAGGACACAGCACTTGGACGCAGAGATGCTTAAACATGCGCCCACAGTCATAAAAGCGGGTGGCACCAGTCTCTCACTCTCTTGGGCATAGCTTAACCCCTTTCACACACCCTGGCCTCGCCGGCGACCACTGCTGCTTGAGACAACAATGCCGGTTTCTGTGCACAGCAAACACCTCGTTAAGTCTTGTTCTGTTAATCTGGACTTGTCCTGATGCTTACGGAGCTCCGTGTGCACTCACTACTTCAAGAATACAGAGTTGTACACCTGAAAATTTAGTCCTCAAAAGCGCTTATTGAATGGGACACGCAAAAAGAAGCCTAAAGGATGCGCAGACGGGGTACAACGACAAGCATTCATGAGGAGAGTTGACAAACAAGTCAGTGATCATCGTCAACTGGAGATCTGATGCGGGGTTCTGAACGCTCGGGCAACTACTAGCCCAACACAGAAGCCCAAAGGGAGGGGGGAATTTTTGGCGATATAGGTCCAGCTAGAGTAAGCAGATTTCAACTTGGCAGACTCCCTTGGTCATCCCCGACGTGCGGACTGAGAAGTGCAAATTCCGGTGTCTGATGTGGACTCAGAAAACAATGCGGCTGGATACGACGCCTCGCTCTTTGGAACAAAGTGGGACTAGATCGCAGTTGATAGCCAGGAATGGGGAGGCGGACGACGACCTTAACCCTAACCCCAACCGTAACGTCAACCTTAAACGTTAACGGTTAACCCTAACGGCAACCCTAACCGAAATCTTAAACGCAATCGTAGCCCTTAGTCATAGCCATAACTGGAAAACCTAACCGTAATACTGAAAACCTAATCGTTCGCTCAAACCCTAACCGTAACCCGAAAACCTAAGCCTAAAGGCATAGCCCCAACCCGAAAATCGGAAACCATTAACCGGTACCCTAATCCTAACCTCAAACGTAAAACGGAAGCCAAATGGGTCGGATGTGATTATGGAACCCCGCAAAATAGTCCCAGAAAACAAACCCCCAGCCACCTGTAATACGGGACCTGGCTACCAACTGCGATCTAGCCCAAAGGGGTGTACTCACACCGCGTCTGTGTACGCCGCGATGCCGTAAAAGTAGGAGAAATGCAGGCATGAAACAAGTGGAGGCTGTTCCTCCTCACTCATTTGGCTGCCTCTTCTCGAGGCTGATTGAAATCTAGTCAAGTACAAAGAGCATACCCTGTTCCAAGGTTACAAGATCATTCGGAGGCCTCGTAGGACCGTAAACAGGCGTCGCGACGTGCATAGTCTTCCAGTCCCCCCAGAAACCTATTCATTATAAAAGTTTAACTGGAGTGAGTTGCAGACCACTGTAATA